ATTTTTACCTATGAGTTCTAAATCCATCCTCTTTGTAATTATTTCCAAGCTTTCATTTGATTTTGCAAATTTTGAAAAACATCCCATTAATTTTTCTTATTATTATTAGTTTTTTTTGGTTTCCTCCCATGTTTTATATAATTTCCAAATAAAATATTTATTTATTTATTTTAATCTTAATTAATAAAAGAAAAATAAACATAGTATGTAAATACTATATTATAATTGTTCAGGCATTAGGCGGATAAGTCTGGTATAAATTCGTGAAACATTGGTTTTATTAAGACTGATTCATTGACCTAGGTCTCGTTGGAAACTGCTATTTTAGTATTTTTTTGGTTTTTGGCTAAATCGGGGTTAAAAAAAACTAGTATGGTTTTGGAGTGACTTTTGACTTTTTTACGACAAGATGTGCCAAAAGTTAGAAGAAAATTGAAATCTTTTTATTTTTGCGTATAAGAGTATAGACTTTTTTAGACTTTTTTAGTAACTTTTTGACTTTTTTACATAAAAATGTTAACTTGTTTCAAACGAAGCCTAGCCATTTTTTTTAACTAGACAAAGCCATTCAAGGCCAAGAATTTTATGGCTAAAATCCTATCTAATAGGTTTGGCTTAAATGAACTAGACCCCAAGTAAATGATTAAACATTGCCAGTAATGATAGAGATCTTATAATTTATTAAATATTTTTAAATCAAATTCTCTCATTATGGTTTAAGGATCTACACACACTATGGATTTGGTGCAGATTCCCATATCCTTATGAGACTATTTGATAAAACATTTAGCCTCCGTTTGGGAAAGTGAGTTGACTTTTTGACGTTTTTTGGCTTTATTTGGCTATTTTAGGACTGGCTTAATAAGCTTGTTTGGAAGGGCTTTTTGGCTTTTTGGCTTTTTTGAGTTTTTTTGTGAGAGAAGAATGTAATGATTATGGGTTGGATGTGATGTTTTGTTTTTATGGCTTAAAATAGCCCTATTTTGATCTTTTGGGCTAAAATAGCCAAAAGCAAGAACCAACTTGCCAAACAGAGGCTTAAGTAGATTATTTAGGATTCATAATTTTCCTTACATGAGTTTAACTAGTTGAGATTCAAACATATTTTTAAAATTTTATTTTCTACTTTTTTTTATATTAATTTTCTTATTCCTTTGCAGTGAGCCAATGGGCTTACCTCTTATAGAGCAACCGATTGAGTATCAACACTTGAGTTACAATACTAGCTTAGGCTTCGTTGGAAACAATATTATTTTTCTAGTCTAAAAATTTAAAAATTCATTAAAAAAAATAAAAGTCAATAATTCTAATCAAAAGTTTAAAAAAAAATTCTCTCTATATTTTGCACATCTTTTCGTAAAAAATTAAAAAAAATCATTCAAACATATTAATTTTTTTACATCATATTTTAGTCAAAAAATTAAAAAATTACTAAAAAAGCATGTCTCCAAACAAGACTTAATATATTTTATTTGAGGGAGCCAATATATCCAAAATAAACCTCGCTACAAGAGCATCAGCATCAGCATCACCATAGCCAAAATAACGAAAGGCTAAAATATAGTTAGTAAATCACAAAATTGTTCCTCCATCAGTCTCAACAATTTTTTTCTAAATTAACATTTATTAAATTTGTATACAGTACCTCAACAAACTTCGTTGAGGCACTGTTCATATCTCGTTACAAGATTTTTTAGTTATATTTTTTGGAGCAAAACTCGGCCAAAATCTTTAAATCTATCGTCTACCTGGATGGTCTCTCGGAATATCCCACCAGATGTCCCGTGAGTGCCTATAGCAAAAGAAGAAAAAATGCCAAAAATTAGTAGAACCAGTCGACTGGCAGGTCAACGGCCAATCAATGACATATTTTATTTTTTTTTGTATTTTTTAAGAATTGTTTGGGTGGCACCTCGTCACTCATTAATTAATAAATAAAAAAAAGAATAAAAAACAATAACAAAATAAATTTTAATAGACTGAGTTACAATAAAGAGTTTGATATAATGAGTGACTAACTAAAATAACAAAATAAAATTTCAGCTTTAATTTAACTAAAAATTTAAAAGTTGATGCAAATACTGGGTTCTTTGAAAAGTGGATTAGCTTTTTTTGATTTTTTTGGACTATTTTAGCCTGGGACTAACAAGTCTAGTTTGGGAAGACTTTTATTTTTTCAATTTTTTTGTGAGAGAAAAAATGTAATGATTATGGGTAGATGTGATGTTTTGTCTTATTAAATAAAAAATTTATTTTATTTTTTATGACTAAAATAACTAAAAAAAAAACATGGCTTTTAGCTTTCCAAATGAAGCCTAAATCTTCAAACTAAACTATAACCCTTCCCTTCCCCATATTATGACCCCTATCTAGAGAAAAAACATACAAGACTTTTTTGGGGAGGTGATTAAAATTACTTTTTAATTTTTTTAATTTTTTTGTAAGAAAGGGATGTGATTTTTAACCCACTTTTCAAAATAGCCCACATATGCATTAGTCTTAGTAACCGTGTGCTGGCAGGTTGTGATTGGGTGGGAAAATTTTCCAAGAAAAACGCCTACCAGCTTATCCAATAGGAAAAACAGTATGGACAGCTGCACATTATAACTAAAAAAATAATAATAATATAATAATAATAATTTTAAATTTTTTAGTTATAATTAAAAAAAATTTAATAACAACTAGGAGATATAAATTAAAAATTCATAGGTCATAACTATATAAAAAGATTAATTATACTTAAAAAAATAATATAACTAAAAATATATAGGATAAATTACAAACACGCCATTTAAAGTTTGCTTAAAGTATATACTGTCTATTGTGAATTAAAAAATTAAAAATACACCTGTTAAAATTTTTTATTTAACAGAATTAACTAAAAAATAAAATTCATAATTATTCTTTTATACAATAATAAAATTATTTAAATTATTAATCGAAATATATTTTAACATTATTAAAAATTATTATTATTAAGAAATGTGATTTATTATGAAATTAAAAATCTTAGAGATAAAATTTTAATTTTCAGAAACTTAAAAAACGATTCATATTTTAATCAATTAAATTTCAGATGATGTATTTATAATTTATCCAAATATATATGATAAAAAAAAATGGACATAATTAAAAATGAATAGGTGTATATTAGAATTTCCCAGGAAATAGAAAACTGTTCCCTTCTTCTCTTAACTCTCCATTGAATCCCTCTCTTTTATATATATATATATATATATCGCTCAAAACAGCCGTCTCTTTCTCTCATTTCAATTCAATTACAGTCCGACAGAGAAGTAGCAAATAAAATCAACAATGGCAATGGCGTCGGAGAGCAACAGTCCGAGATCCGGATCAAGCAGCAACGGCGGGCGCAAGATAGCCCTGATCACGGGCATCACGGGCAAGACGGGTCGTACCTGACCGAATTCCTGCTGAACAAAGGGTACGAGGTCCACGGCCTGATCCGAAGGTCGTCGAACTTCAACACCCAGCGAATCAACCACATCTACATCGACCCCCACAACTCCCACAAGGCCCTCATGAAGCTCCACTACGCCGACCTCTCCGACGCCTCCTCTCTCCGCCGCTGCTCGACACCATCCTCCCCGACGAGGTCTACAACCTCGCCGCCCAGTCCCACGTCGCCGTCTCCTTTGAGATCCCCGATTACACCGCCGACGTCGTCGCCACCGGCGCCCTCCGCCTCCTCGAAGCCGTTCGCTCCCATATCTCCGCCACTGGCCGATCCCACATCAAGTACTACCAAGCCGGATCCTCCGAAATGTTCGGATCTACTCCCCCTCCTCAATCCGAATCCACTCCTTTCCACCCTAGATCTCCCTACGCTGCTTCCAAATGCGCTGCTCATTGGTACACTGTCAATTACCGTGAAGCTTATGGCATCTTTGCTTGAATGGGATTTGTTCAACCATGAATCGCCCAGGAGGGGAGAGAATTTTGTCACCAGGAAGATCACCAGGGCTGTGGGAGAATCAAGATCGGCCTTCAGAGCAAGCTGTTTTTGGGAATTTGATGGCTTCCAGGGATTGGGGTTTTTTGCTGGGGACTATGTGGAGCCCATGTGGATGATGCTGCAGCAGGACAAGCCGGATGATTATGTGGTGGCCACCGAGGAGTCCCATACTGTTCAGGAGTTTTTGGAAGTGGCGTTTGGGTCTGTTGGCTTGAATTGGAGAGACCATGTTGTCATTGATAAGAGGTATTTTAGGCCCACTGAGGTTGATAATTTGAAGGGCGACGCCAGCAAGGCCAAGGAGGTTCTGGGTTGGAAGCCTAAGGTTGGGTTTCAGATGCTGGTCAAGATGATGGTTGATGAGGATATTGAATTGGCTAAGAGAGAGAAAGTGCTTGTTGATGCTGGGTTTATGGATGCTCAGCAACAGCCTTGAGCCTTGATTGATTCAACCATTTTCTCTTTCTTTTCAATTCTCCGAATTATGGTTCAATTCTCTTTTTAGTGTTTTGAGTTTTTATAACTACGTTCCGGGGATAATATAGTTTGATTACAATGTGGCTACTGTTGTTAAATTTAAACTTTTGATGTTAATGGGTTGTTTGATTGTCTTCAAACCCCCCCCTCATTCAATATGAAGTTGAGAAACGTTTCATTGTTATATTTTGTATCTTTCTCTACCATTTGTTCTCCTCGCATTTAGAATAATGACAACTCTTTTGGAGATGTTGTGGATGATCTGATTCTGTCTACTTTCTATTCTGATCGACTCCAATGCTCTACATTGGTGATTAAATTTGAGTATGTGATAATGTTGTAGTGTATTGTGTCCACAGTTTACCAGGGAATTACACTTAAATCGTGCATAGAACAATATAAAAATAATTAATATATGATTTAACTTATTTTAATTGTGTCACATCACATCTTTATTGTTTTCTCACAGGAAGCATTAATAAATACATAATTTGACAAAAATTGAAAAAGTTTCTTAAAAAAAGAGAGACCAGTTTAAAAGCCATCCTTCTAAAAGATGAGTGAAAAACACTCTATAGTTGGATAACATTGAAGATTGAATGAAACAACTACATGAAGTACATGTAACATTACAACGGATAAAAGAACATAAAAGCTGTGAAACGATGGCACAAACACAGGTTTTATTGAATTATGAACAACGGGTAGGATACAAAAGGGAGATTGGTGTACAAGTGCTCTATTCTTCTTTTCTGACCATGACAAAACCAGGTGCTAATCAGAGAAGCATGATCAAACTGCACTAGTCCGGCCCCGGGGGTATAACCTCAATTTCTACAACCATGATTGACAAATGCTTGGAAAATTTACAACAAAAAGTAAATGAGCAAGTCAGTCTAACTTGGATTCCATGGTAGACAGGCTTCTATTTAACGCTCTTTCCATGGGAGCGACAGCTGGTTTCCAGGTCTGCTGAGGTCACTGAAAATGGCTTGACAGATGATCTCAGTGATTCGGGTCCCTCTGCATTGATTCTCTTGCATAATGAATCACAGTTGCTAATCACCTCAGTCAACCTTCCCTTCAGCTCCCCAAGATCAACCTGCAATACATGAACTGCATGCAATTTTTATACACAGTTAAATAACAACTTTAATGTGAAGTCTAATTATACAAAGCCCACAATCTACAACATCACATCAACAGATTCTCAAAATAATAGTTCAAATCAAGCAAGTCATCGTTTCATCAGGTACATGAGCACATTCAAGAAGAACCAAGGTAGGCAACTTGGGCTTCCACCAAAATTTTCAGGGCTAAGCGTTCTTGGCATTCCGTAATATGAGATTTGGGTTGGTGAGCAGTTTCTTAGAAATTGTTTTTTTGCAACCTGCAATGGGCTTTTGTTTTTTTTTCCCTTTCTTTATTTTTATTTTTATTTTTATTATATATATATATATATATATATAAGTTTATTTATTGAAAAGTCTAGGCAAGAACATCACTCACCTTCTGATAGATGATGCGAAGTAGTCTTCATTGTTGAGACTGAATAATTAAAACGCTGAAGAAGTTTACCTGTCAAAGCATCTGCAACTTCTATCTTGTTTTCTACCTCTTCCTGCATCAGTTATAATCGATTATCATAATATGTAGCAAAACAAATCAAATTGATGTTCCCTTAACAACAGCCCCAATACAAAGTTTCAGTTGCAAATAATTAACTAGTGCAGACAATAAGAATACATAATTATTCATTGCAGCTTCATTCATCCATGGATTCAGCCACTAAATACTAGACAGGGTTCAGGTGAGCTGGCTGCAGTTCTAATCTTATCCATGCCTTGTCTAGACAGAAGACATAAATATACTTACTGCAATAACAGCACCATTGTAAAATATGACTTTTATCATTCTCAAAGTGAACCTGTTTCTTACTAATCGTCTGGATTTTTGCCTCCTGCCAATCACGGTACATTGAGAAGAGCTCCAGCAGCACCATCGGATTTACTGTATCAATTTCATCAATAGGAATGTCATACTTTTTTAAAATGATGCATTACATACAAAAAATGGTGTGAATAAAGTAACAATACATGTGTACTCAAAAACACAAACTACACCAAATTAAGTTGCAACCATTACTATATCCAAAAAGAACAGGTCAAATGTTTCATTTGTGCACGCATATATATCAAATATGCATCTGCAATGTGAAACTGTTCCAGCAGACTAATGCTTCCATGCTTTTTACACATGAATAACATGAATGAATATTATTTCACACACACGAGTATGTTCATCATAAGAATGAAACTCAGAAGGAACTGACAGGGGCATGCACAAGTGGTAAGACGCATGTGGCTTAATTCGATGCGAAAGAATTACATCAAAACACACATGGAGACAGATATGAATGGGAAGTGGGTTTTAAAGTTCTGGCGCATGATTCACTTTCAGCAGTTGACATCTTTAGAATGACAAGTAAAACAGAATTAGTACATTGAAGCACTTTCCTATGAGTTATAATTATAACACAAATTCTTGCTCAGTTCCACCCTAGCCCATTCTCCGAAGAGCAGACAAACCCCATCTCTCCCTCATGAAATAACTTAATTTTTTTGTGATGTGTTGTTTTTCAAGTCATTTTGGGACACTTCTGTATAATATGTATGCGACTCATGAGCTTCCAAATTCCCAAATAACAGTTCTTCAAAATTTAAAAAAAAAAAGAAAAAAGAAAAAAAAGATCACCTGAAGCAGAAGAGGATGAGGGTTTTCTCACTAGAATGTCTGTCAAGCTAGTCTCCTCTTCCAGTGGTGCTGTCAATATTGGAGTTGCCTGCATTAAGAAATAAATACATACATGTAAATCATATATTATGAAACCAGCATCAAAGAGAAGATGATTCCAAAAGGTTGAACTATGATAAAGATAATGATAACCTAAACAAAACCAAAAGAGGCCTATACAAACGATAAAAAAGGCTTGCAGATCGCTATAGATGAAGAGAATCTACAAAATCAACAAAATGATCCAGATTGGGAGAGACTTACCCAGAAACCCAACTACACAAAATAGCCAAAAAGCAACTCTTTAGCCAATGTAAAGGCACCTCTTCCCCTTTAAAGGTCCTCTTGTTTTGCTCTTTCCAAAGATGCCACATCAAGCACAAATGATCTAACAACTCCCCATCATATTTATACATAAAACACCAATTTATATATAAAAAAAATAAAATTATCATCTTCTAATTAGTTTATAAATCATGAGCTATGAAGTGCATACACTTCTACTAGCATGACGTACATTGGTGTAGACACATTGGGGACACATAATTTCTGAAAATTTTGGCAGGTCAAAATGTAAAATATGGAAAAGATAAAACAATAGAAAAACACTTCATCACTTAGTTAAGATAAGCCCTAGCCTAGAGAGAGAAGAGAAAAAGAAGAAAGAAGAGACAGAGGAGGGTTGTTGTTCCCTAATTTCTTGAGAATGCTATGTTGTTCATAGACCCTCTCTCTCTCTCTCTCTCTCTCTCTCTCTCTCTCTCTCTCTCTCTCTCTTTTCTGC